GACAACCTTGGAATACCATTCCAAGTAAAAAATGATACTATAAGTCTCTATACGCTTGGGGAGCATTTTTGCATATTCACACACATTTTTGTTCATCCACACACAATTTTTCTGCTTCTTGCACGAGCTTGAGTGAGGGTGACACTCACACTTCATCATAAGTCATACACATAATCAGGTTCTTATGGGAAGTAAGGGAAACAGACAAGCATCTCTCTCTCTCTCTATCATTTTCCTTTAAATATTGAATTTTGTAGAGAGAATGGAGTTTTTGGATTGGGACATTCTCCAAGAGGCATGAGAGGTCTTTCTCCACGTCATCTTCTTCATTGTTTTTCTTCTTTGGCAAACATAGATTAGTTTTACCTTTCTATTTTATTGTTAAGTTTAATTACGAAGTACTTTAAATTCCTTATTCTTTACCTTGTTTTTTTGTTCTTATTTTAAATACAAAGTACTAAATTTAATTTTGCTTTCAATATTAGTTTCATTTTCTTTAATTTATATTCTTTTATTCTTTCTTTTAATTTAATTTATGTTATGTTTGAGTACTTAATTTTTGGTATAATCGGATGAGGGATTCTCATCCGTGAATGGGTATTTTGATCTAATGAGGGTTTTCAATGTTAAAGATTTTTTTGTTGATTGAAGAAATTACTTTTGAAAACATAATTGATATGTATATCTCTCTAATTAATGTTAGACAATTAATTTTGGCACGGGTAATTCTTGTAATCACTATAATGAACATGACTGTGATTCTTTCGTGAATTAACTCAATCAATTAAAATACATATTTTGCAAACTTTGAGTTTTAGTTAAATATTTTTTGTCCAAGTGCATTTGATTACAACTTTAGATGAGTTATAAGATTAAGTCAAAATTCCTATTTTTGGTGAGATGAACTTTGAAGATTATCCCTTTTTTTTTATTAACACATACAAAGAAAAATATAGAACTCAACGCCATATAAATGTATGCATTTATCATGTTTTAATAAAAACTCGTGTGTAGTGTGAATTAACTGTATCAAGTCAGCGATCCATTAGTGATCACCTCTACAACTATCAACTATTTATCTAAATGCAAAGTCTCACTATGTAATATCTCATAAAACAAATCTCTCAGATTATAGTGTCTATTCTCTCAAGTTGCACATTTGAAAAGAAGATATTTTAATCAAAACGAAATAATGGTCAAATGTCTATATTGAAACAACCAATACATAAAAGAAAGTAATTTGACTTAGTCTCATAAAAGAAAATCAACACCAAATAAGCAAAAAATTACAATTCTTCTCCTATTCACATAAGTCATGCATCCACCAATATACTCTTAAGATTAGATAAGTCTTTATCTAAGGTTGTAATGGGGCCTTGGGATTAGGGTTTCAAAATGAAAGGTATTCAAGAATTCAAAAGATTAACCCAAGAGAAAAATACATTACATAACCGAACTTCTTTCCATAATCTTTCACCCATTCACCCTTTAGAAGCATAATTTACAACACTTGCTCATTTTTTTCACTAGTATTTCCTTGTTTCTTTAATGCTTTGACTTAGCATTTTGTTGTTTTCTCTTTTTCTAACATTCTTAAATTACAAGTATGAGAGGTGGCTTTCCTATGATGCATGGGGTTGATGATTTGAATCTAGATGAACTATGGTTGTGAAAGGAAAAGGCAAGCAATTGCCTTCTAATGCTGCTGAGAAACAAATTACAAGAAGCGTGAAATCCGTAGATAAGTGGGCTCGGGGACCAAGCTTAAATGCTGATGAGGAGATAGTCGTTGAGCTTCCTCCAAGTGGCCACTTTATTTTCGAGAGTGTGGAAACGACCAGATTGATGGGTCATGATACTTTACTTACCAGGGACAAGGATAATTTATTTGGGATATCATCAGTAAGTTTGGTTAAGTATGAACCAATACATTGCACGTTATGGATTTAGAGAGAATTGAAATATAGGATGGCATCACTTATGAAGAGAAACCGGTGAGAATACTAGATACCAAGAAAAGGCACTTTGCTACAAAGTTATTTAATTAATGAAGGTATGGTTACAACATCATGGAGTGGAGGAGGCTACGTGGGAGCCAGCGTTGGAGATGTGGGAGAATATCCTCATTTATTCCCTACTTGAGGTAAATTTCAAGGGTGAAACTTTCTTTTAGGGGGTAGATTGTAAACCCCCGTGTGTTTATAGTTATATAAATAATAAGTTGTATGTGTTGCATGTATAAACCATTAGTTAAGAAAAGAATAACTAGGAGTTAAAGTGGTACTTGACTTATAATTTTTTTTTGTGAGATCTGATTGATCTGAAATATTTATAATAGAAACTAGATCCCAAGAGACACAAAAGCATGTTTCACAAGGAGTTTGTTAATCAACTTTTAAGTAAGTCAAAACTCGACTAGAAGTTGAAGCAAGAAATTGGATGCACGTTTGAACGCCAATGATCTCAGTACTTTGCTATCTGACAAAAATCCTAACAAAAAAGGAGATATTGGGAGCAAACCACGTTCGAACTCAAAAACCTCTATTCGAATGCCACTTGATTACAGTACTTTGGTTTCTGAATTTTTTACAATAGAAACTAGATCCTAAGAGACACAAAACTATGTTTCACAAGGAGTTCATGAATCAAATTTTTAAGTAGGTCAAAATTAGACTGGGAGTTAAAGTGAGAAATTGGATGCACATTTGAACGCCAAGCTTCCGTTCAAACGTTAGTTAGTCCTAATGCTTTGTTGTCCAACAGAAATCCTGACAGAAAAGGAGATACTGGAAGCAACCATGTTCGAACACAAAAACCTCTGTTCAAATGCCACTTGGTTACAATACTTTGGTTTTCTAATAGAAACTCTGAGAAAATTTGAGATACAGGGTATAAGTCACGTTAGAATGCAAAAGCCATGTTCAAACGCGATGACGATTACAGTAGCATTTAGACTTGCATAAACTGATCAAAGGCTAACCCTATAAATACTTAAGGATGCCTTCCAGCCATAAGTTATCATTTCTAAACCCTAGAAAACCTTAGAGAGTGAGAGAGAAGGAGAAAAATGAGAATTTGAAGGCGTTTACGCAAAGGAGATGGATCAAAGTCTAGAAGTTTCACCTTTAAACGGTAGATTGAGGTAGGAGTTTCATCATAAACTTGTTCATTGAGGCTAGGGTTAATGTGTGTGTGTGTGTGTGTGTTTTTATCTCTAAATCATCTGTATATAATATATATTAATTAAGTCTTGGTTCTCTTGTAAATTGTAGTGTGTTTTGGATGAGTTTATCATTTGATGGCCATGACATCTTTGTTCTTGTTTCAAAACCCAATTTTTCAAGAAATATATAGGTTTTTCACACGATACTCCTTTGTTCTTGGTTTGGAAACTTCTAGTGTTTGGTTTGAAAAATAAAATTATATTTTTCATGATCTCTTACTTGTTTCTCGAATTATTCCTTGGGAAAAATATTAGTGAAATTATGATGATTGGGTTATATGTTATTTGACGAATTTGTTAGAATATTATCTCTTGTATGGGTAGTTGATGCATGTGGGTTACCTACAACCGGATATCGTAGAGTGTTTAGACGTTGTATGGGACCTTGAGGGGTGCCATGGTGTCCTATCACTCGTAGGGGGTTGGTTCCTCACGAGGTACCAAACACTATTCGTTCACTATAGTTGAGACTGAGGGTTGGTATACCATAATCCTAGGAAGGATTATTATTGAAAAGATGGAGTTTTGTGGGTCAGGATTTTCTCTTTGTATAGATTCACTATAGTTAAGCCTACATACATGAGATAAATTGTTGATATTGTTTACTGATTGAAAATTGGGTGGATCTTGTAAATGTCCTTGTTTTGCTTCAAATATTATATATGTCATGTTATAAATGGAGATCAACCTATTTTTATGTTATAAAACCTTGTTCGAGATTTTGGAAGAATGTTGCTTCAGAGCTCAATGCTCACACCCTACTATTAATATTTTACAGATTTCGGTCTAGAGGAAGACCTTGGATTGGATGAACAGGTGGTTTGGGAAGGCTATGTTGAAAGGGATATAGATTCCAGGTGGATGTCGAGAGTTTTTCTTTCATGGTTTGGCTTTGCAAGTTTATTTTGAGACAAAGTTAAGGATAATGTTTAGTTTATTCTGCAGCCAACTCTTATTTGGTTTGAGAATGTAAGTGAAGGTTTTAATTACTGATTTTTGTGGTTGTATTGGTTATCTAAACATCCTTTAGTTAGTTTTTTTTGGGAAAAATGTTATAATTAGTTTTTGGATGTAATTGCCAAGGTTTGACATATTTATTTCGGACTATGCTTAGTGATTATGAATGATAAATGAAATTCTTCTTTTTATTTATGGATATATTAGTTGCTCTCATAGAATGAATGGTTTATAGATAGTAATGCCTTCCAGGGTATGTTTTGAGGTGTTATAGAAAACCTTATTGGGTCGATTTTGACTTTTGAGATGAACCTTCTTCCACCCAAAAAAGAGAAGGGTGTTGCATTAAATTCTAAAATCAAAGAAGGAGGTAAATCTGGGCCACCCTGATTAGGAGAAGAGGAAATAGCCTATCTCACTCAAAAATTCAATAAATATTTCAAAGCTATTGGAGTCAAGTCCTCAAGGTCAAAAGAAAATCCAAGTAGATCTAGATCTCCTAGAAAAGGGAAAGAAAGTGGGGGTAAATCTTCTCGACATGAGATTGAGAAAATGGGGCAAGGTCTCCAATGCTACGAATGTCATGGGTTTGAACACATAGCTATGGAATGTCATAGTGTTAAGAAGAATAACATGCCCAAGGAGAAAAGAAGAGTCTTAAATGCCAAAGTGAGTGAAAGCATAAGTGAATCCACAATGAGTGTTGACTTATCTTTATCAAGTGATGAAGAAAATGTTATGGGCTTTGAAGGTTTACACTCCTTCCCCCCACAAAAAAAAAATCCATAAAAAAAGATGAGGAATTTGAGTCTAGTCCACTATGGACGTTGATGACTCGGTTGTAGAAGTCTCTACTAGTGAGGATGAGATCGAGAGTGTTAAAGACCTCCAAAATGTTTATAATGAATTATACAAGGAGCGCCTAAAACAAGGTGAGAAGTTGCTTTCGTTGAGCACAAGACTCAAAATCAGTGAAGATGAAAAGAAAAGACTGCATGTGGACTTAGTTAAGTCCAAGGCTCGAATTGTTGGGCTTGAGGAGGAGAGTAAGTCCCTCCATGACAAGGTGAGCTTCCTTGAGAGTGAGCAAAAAATGATTTTAGAGTCTAAGAAAGGTCTTTAGTTTAAGATTGTCAAACTTTATAGAGACTTTCATGAGTCACAAGAGCTCTCAAAAAGACTTTCCCAAAGCACCGAAAAGTAAGATAAAATTTTAACTATAGAGAAAAGTGTTGGTGACAAAAGAGGATTCGATTTCAATAATGAACACAACACCTCCACTTATTCCATGACCATGTTTGTAAAGGGTGATCCCCACCCTACACCTCCATGAGTAAGAAACAAATCCTAAAAAGACTAATCATGGTAAGAGTAAGCAAGAAAATAAGATGGCTAAAAAGAAAACCCAAACCAAGTTACTTGTGTGTTTTACTTGTGGTAAGTATGGTCGTTATAGTGCACATTACTTGATACCATCGCCGAGGTAGGCACGAGGCCAAACCTCGCGTACCACACTCCCTAGGAAGCCTTTTGCATCTGCATTAGATTAGTGGTGTAGAGATCTGAAAAGTGAGGATAAATTTTTCAGTTTTGCCGGTAAAGTACTATTCATGCACCATTTGTTGGTAGGGCACTACATATGCCTCATTTAGGCATAAGTCATATTGAGGAGAATAATTTGAGTATTTCATAGAAAAAAAATGTGCTTAGAATGTTAAAATACACCTACTGTGCGAATTTGAGCCCAAACATAAACAGTTTTAAAAATTAGACAAACCGTGGCCAAGGTGGGACCGGCCATTAGCGAAAATATATATTTTTTAAAATTTTTATTTAAAATAATTTTAAGAACTTTGGTTAAAATAAAATATCAAATTAAGACATTTTAGGACGAGTTGTAGTGTAACGGGGTTCTAGATTCATCAAGGACAAAAGGATCATTTTTCATATTTGCCCCTCCACTATAAATACAGCCCCCTTAGTGTAAAAATATCAGTTTTTGGGCTGAAAAGTTCAGTACACTTTTTTGGAGGAAAAAGGAAGAAAAATCTCAGGTTCTTCAAGTTTCAAGTCATCAAAACTCATTCCTTGGCCAAGATTCTTGCAAGACTACCTTCTAAGAAGTTGTTCCTCTCAACAAGGGCTAAATTCTCACTGATAGGTTCGGCTATAAAGCGAACACAACTCTCTTGGTTTGATAAAAATCATTTTAGGTATGATATTTTACTAAGTTGAAGATGGATTTAAGTTTTCTTGTCTTCCTATGTGTTGATTGAATGATTTAGGTGTTTACTTGATGTTAGAAAATCTTTTAGTTGGTAATTGCTTTAAAAACATAGAATTTGTGGTTTAAGTACTTTTGTATTTTTTGAGTTTCTTGACAATTTGATGCTATAGTAAAGGTGTATATTGCTTATGTGTTGGATTATTATATTCTAGCTTATATTCATATAGAGAAACTCTTGTGGTTTGAGAGTTATGATTTTTTACATGAGTTGATAGTTTGTGTATTTATAGTTTCTTTGAGAAATTGTGAAAGTAATGAATATGAAGCTTGATCATATGTTTAATCCATTGAATGGTGCTTCACATTCATGTAGATAAGGTGTTTAATAAAATATTTCATAGAATTCACATTGAGAAAAATCAAGGCATCTTGGCATACATGAATCCTTAGAACATAGTGTGGGTTGAGTACTTGGTGCTATGCATTATGAAGGTGTAGATCCTTTGGTGAAAAATCCAAAATCTGGCCAATGACAGTACTCGTGGGTTGACGGGGGTAGACTGTGAAGCGAGACATGGGTGGCATAGAGTTACATGAGTGTGTCATGCATATTGACATTGCATAGCATTGAGGGATTACAGGGTTGTAGCTTTTAAAATGTACACTTGCACATGCCACGCCTTAAATTTATTCCTAGCATTAGCACTTTGTCATTCCAGCAGTTGAGCTGACCCATTTGTGGGATATCATATTACAGATGAGGCTCCTGATACTTGAGACTTGAGGAAGCCTTAAAGAAAGGAGGAGAAAGAGACTTGAATGGATATTTGGCCTTTGGACATATTTTGTATGTATGGGCATAAGCCCAAATGACTTGTGTTTCAATTTGGAAAAGTAATGGATTTAGACCCTGGGTCATTTTAAAGTGTAAGAGTGTAAACTCAATTGATATGTAGGATATATTTATGTAATGAGTATTATATGTGTATGTTGAAAACAAAGGATGTATGTTTAATTTACATGGATTGTGGCCACCGAGTGAGGGTGGGTTGTGATATAATAATGCATATGAAATATTGTGAATATTAGGTGAAAAAAGGCTTGAAAACAAAGAAGGTTATGCCAAAAATTTTAAAAAATTAAAAGACTTGTTAATTGTGTAAAATGCCTTTTAAATAGGTGGGAAGGATGTCAAAAGGGGGGGTTTAGAAACCTTGAAGAAATAGGCTAAAAATGGACGAAAAGTGACTTGAAATTTTTTTGAAAAACATGGGAAATGAATGAGAAACCAATGTATCCAACCTAATGACCTTTCATTTGCTTTTCTTCTCCATTTTCACTCACTCCCCAGGTTTGTGGAAATTCGGGGTGTGACAACTTGGTATCAGAGGTTATGGATTAGATCTTATGTGGGAGTCGTAGGGAAATGGGTACACTAATATTGGAGATAGTTAGGAGATATGTGTGGTGACAAAGGAATTATTTTTACATCATGAATTTTGGATGTCATAGAGAGTATTAGTGTATTTTGGCTGAGAATGTATGAAAGTAAAAAGGCTTTGAGGTATGATGATTTATGATGTTATAACTTTTTTAGGTTATATCAAATTTTATTATTTTGCCTGACCCTTAGTTTCTTTAATTTGTGATGTCAAAGATGTGTGGTAATTCAATTTTGTTGCTTAGGGATAAGGTCAATTGTGGCGTCCTTTATATAATTTTGGTTAGGTGAAGTTATTGGAATTGATAGAGGTGTTAAGAGTTGCAGAAAGATTGAAAATTTTAATTTTATGGTGAAAAATTTGAGTTGGATATGTCTTCCATTAGGGTGACTAAGAGACCTATAAAATAGTACAATGTTCAAATAAAATCAATTAGAGGAGTATGATAAAAATAACTAAGGATTGGTGTAGGTTTTGAAATATGAGTAAAAAAATTGTGATTTTGATTTTGAGTGGATTGGAAGTTGTTTTATGACCATGTATTTGATTATCGATAGTAGTTTGGAAGTAACATGGATAGTTGACTAGTATTACTTTGGGTAGAATTAAATTTTAAGTGACGACTTAATTTTTGTACAATTGGGTTATAAGAATTTTTCAGAAAGACTATGATTGGAGGATCGTGGTTCAATAATTGATGAGTTATATTAGATGACTTTGTTTGAAGATTGATTGAGAATGACATGGTAAGCCTTTGAAGGGAAAGAAATATTGAGTAAGAAAATTAGTAATGATATGAAATAGTAGGTAGGGCCAGACAACTCAGGGTCGTGTTTATGCAGTAGCCACACCAGGGACATCTATTTCTGGACCTTCAGTGGTTCGAGGTACATTCCTTGTGTTTAGTTCAAAGGCTAGCGTACTGGTAGACTCGAGTGCATCTCATTCATTTATATCTACCATGCTTGCCATGACATTGGGGTTGGACATAGATCGGTTAGATCCACCATTACATGTTGACACCCCAGTTGGGGGTAGTGTGATATTGACAAAGATCTGTAGAGATTGCCCGATAAAGATAGCTGATCGCATCTTCTTTTTTTTTTTTTGATTTCATTCTACTTGACATGTCTGGTTTTGATATTATTTAGGGGATGGATTGGTTATTTACTTTCCAGGCGAGTATAGATTGCTATAGGGGGAGAGTGACAGTGTGTACTCCTGAGGGAGATAGCTTTTATTTCAGGGGAGATCGTAGGGATTTCTTAGTTCCATCCTTGTATGACTCGAGGAGTTGGGGTGGTCATAGTTAGTTTGGTAGTAGATGGGGGTGGGACTACAGAGAGTGTGTTACCACCCGTAGTCGATGAGTTTCCAGATGTCTTCCTAGATGACTTGACTAGTCTACCGCGGCGACGAGAGATAGAGTTCACAATAGAGCTTATCCCAGGCACTATGCCTATTTCCATACTACCTTACTGTATGGCTTCGGCTGAGTTAAGAGAGCTAAAGGAGCAGTTGACTGATTTGTAGGGTAAGGGTTTAATTCATCCTAGTACTTCTCCATGGGATGCTTTGGCACTATTTACGAAGAAGGATGGGACATTGTGTTTGTGGGTGGACTATAGGAGGCTAAACCAGGTCACTATCAAGAACAAGTACCTGTTGCCGAGGATAAATGACTTGTTTGATTAGCTTAGGGGTCCAAGATATTTCTCGAAGATTGATCTTAGATTAGGGTATCATCGGTTGAGAGTAAGGGAGAAGAATGTGGCAAAGACAACTTTTCGCACTTATTATGGCCATTATGAGTTCGTGGTTATGCCATTCAGTGTAACTAATGCCCCGGCAACATTCAAGGAGATGATGTATCGCATTTTTAGTTCTTATTTAGATCAATTTTTTGTGGTGTTTGTTGATGATATTGTGATTTATTCACCTTCAAAGGATAAGCATGCCTTTCACCTATGAACTATGTTACAGATTTTAAGGGAGCACCGTTTATTTGCTAAGTTCTCGAAGTGTGAGTTTTGGCTTCAGGAGGTGTAGTTTCTAGGCCATGTTGTGTCAGGTACTAGGGTATCTATGGATCTTTCTAAGATTGACACGGTTATAAGTTGGGAGGGGCCAAAGAGTGTGTTTGACATTCAGAGTTTCTTGGGATTGGCAGGGTACTACCGTCGATTTGTGGAGGGGTTTTCTCATCTTGCCTCACCGATGACTCATCTGATGCGCAAGGGAATTAGATTTGAGTGGACAAATGACTGTGAGCATTCATTTCAGGAGCTAAAGAAGAGGCTAACTTCAGCACCTGTCCTGATTATACCTGAGGGAGGTATTGGACATACCATTTTTTGTGATGCTTCACGAGAGGGATTAGGCTGTGTATTGATGTAGGAGGGTAGAGTGGTAG